ACTGTCACCCCATCTGGTCCCCGAGATATGCTAGGGACTGTCAGTTGGTTGAAAATGTTCAAAGGAGGGCCACCAAACTGGTGCCTGCACTTCCGCACCTCAGCTACCCTGAGAGATTGGAGCGCCTGAACTTGCCTAGCTTATACTACAGACGGGCAAGGGGGGACCTAGTTGAGGTGTATAAGCATCTCAGGGGGCACTACTCAGTTGTGTAATGGTCATGATAAGAGCTAACCGGAAAACCTTAAGGATTCAAATTACGCTCAAACGTCCACAAAACCTTCTGAGTCCCCCAGTGGAAACGTCCCCCGTTTTCTCTGTTTCCCCCGTCTTTGTCTATGGGAGCTTGGAATATAATCCGCGGATTTAGTAGCAGACGCTGTATGCTGGGACCTGTTGCCATCCAACCCTTTGTAATCAATTTAAATTTGCTTTTGATAGCTGAGTCAGAGCATTGTTAGTGAAGATAACAGTAGAGAATGAAAATGAGTTCATAGTCTCAATTTCAACGTCAGAGTGTACCGTAAATTAATTCATCGGAATAGGAGTAGGTGGACTCCCTGGTCTGGTTTGAGTGAGGGCACGCGGGCATTTCTACCGTTAGTAAGTGCCCGTCCCTTCATCCATACAGGTCCCTAACGCAGCCTAGGCCGTGTCTGTAGCGTGGATGTTGTATCCACTATGTCTGGGGAGATGTCCGAGGTCCAGTAGGATCAGTTACCTTCGTGAGACCCGGCCGTCAGACACTTCAGACTACCTATAGCCCCCATAGCTGGCTCGTCTGGCCCTAACGCTCGGTCCACGAGGTGACGCCGGATCACCAAGCCACACACCACTACCAGCCCCCATCATTGGTGGATGAGTGTCTAACTCAGTAGGGCTATTTGTGTGGTGGAATTAATCCACTGGGATCTCCAGAGTTCGTCGGATAGTACTCCATGGTGGCTGGACCCCATGGCTGTTGCTTGAGTAACACACCTGACGACTGAGTGTTGTAGGGGCAGTTGCCCTAGTATTTATGGTGCTAAATGACTATAATAGTTGTGTTATTGAGTATGTCCACCCAGTAGGGTTGGAAGTGTTATTGAATATGTCCACCCAGTAATGGTGTGAGTATGTTGAGCCTGAGGGCCTAGTACTAGATTTCGTCTGTTAGTACAAACCAATTCTTTCTTCTAATTTCATATTCATGTTTAAATAAACTTTGTATTTGTATATTGTGTCTATTATTTACCTACAGTATTTACCGTTATTTCTTCCCTATTGCTTGATACTATCATTACACCTACCCACGAGCCTCCTATCGTCACGCTACCAATGGTGATAAGTATAAGAGTAAAAGGAATTGTTACTGGCACACAGAGGACCTCATAAATGGTGGCAGTTCAAGCCCTCATAGTTGAGTGTCCTTACTTGGAGGTGGCGGACGCTCGCCCCACAAGGGGTCACAGCTCAAGATTGAAGAAGCCGCAAGTTCAGAAAACCGTGAGGGCAAACTTTTTCGGAGTGAGGGTTGTAAACTCTTGGAACAATCTACCAGAGAGTGTTGTGACGGCACCGAGTGTGAGCTCTTTCAAGAGAAGACTTGACCAACACTGGAGCGGGTTCAGGTACATTCAGGAGCCGGTGCATGCCCAGTATTTGCCAACAGTGCGTGACAGAGACGTGACCGATCGCCCGGGCGGCTAGCGAGCCGATCTTTTGGTGAAGAATATAAATGAAAAGAGACGTGACCGATCGCCCAAGCGGCTAACAAGCCGATCAGTGGCGAAGAGGATAAAAGTAAAAAAGTATAAATGAGATTCCGTAACTATTATTCACAAGCCATCACTGGACCCTCAGGTCTTACTTTAACAAGTAACAAACTACCTCTCCACTTCTTGATTAGAGTATGATACTCTCAGGTTATTCTTTCATGGGTACTACAGCTGAAAACATAACACACTGGACTAACTCCACAATTATAGTAACATACAATACCTCCTGTTAGTTAGCAAGGAACAACCTGGTACCTTGAACTCTCATTCAGTGGTTCAATACTTAACCTGGGATGACTATATTTCTGCTAGTCATCCCCAAGCATGGATATTAATACGGCTCCATACATATAACCAAGACCAGTAGACAGACCATGATCATATGACGGAGTCAGTGGGCCAGAGTTGTTTACAGGCTCGCTCGCTAGCTCGGAGCGCCTGGCCCGGGAAAAGTTGACTCGTGGCGGTGGGCCGTGGCGTCTGCCAAGGAATCTCGCCACTTTAAAGACGTCTTTCGAGAGACATCGTGCCCATCGGCGGCTCCCGAAGCTCAGGAGTGTTGCTAACCCCCACAACAGCGTCTGGAGACATGGAGGAGAAATCACAGAAGGCGTGAATATTTAACTTCACTATACAAAACATACGTCTGGCACCGGTTCAGACGATAGCTAGACCTCTACTTTACTTGACTCACTTGGCACTGAAGGTACTATGTTAAAACATGAACACTGATATTCACAAAAAATGACTAAGTTAAACTGAGTTAATATGGCGGCGTGGAACACACGTGAACATACCTGGAGACATGGAGGAGAAATCACAGAAGGAGTGATTTCCCCTCGCGCGCCTGCATATATACGGGCCTGAGGGCATATTCCTACTAGAAAGATAAATTCCACTAACAATAGACCCTCTATTCACAGTAGTCGTTGGACACCTAGCTGTGACCGTCAGTGTCACAGATCAGGCTAATTTTCTACATCTATATTTATGATTTAATCAGAGATTGAGTTTGTCAGTAAAGAGGTGAATTGAAGTTATATATGCGTTCGCAACTCTATTGACCTGACCGCAAACCACATCCCCGGTCAAACAGCCGTTAAATCTGGGAGAATTTTGAGTTTGACAGGAACTGTTTAGAAGATGAATGACTTTCTTAAATAGACAACTGACACTAACTAAACTATGAACATCAGATTCTCTGATGTCGGGGCGACAAAACAATATAACTTCAGTAGCGATAAGAAACCCATGGGTATCCCCACGGACGACCTAAAATACGCCACTCTAACTGGCAAACTCAACACTCGCTTACTTGACACGTCTTACTAACAATAAGGACAGTTGAAGCGTTCAACCCCACTCACACTGGATCTTGAATGTTCCAACTGTAAACAGACATATCTAAGTTGACTCAAAACAAAGGTGTTCTCTCTCACATTCAAATTTATTATATAGAGAGGTTGGTTTCAGTAAGTCAGAGAAAATGGGATAACGGAGGACTGAGGCGTCTTGAAGTGATGAGAAAACGGACTCCTCAGATGGAGGACTCAAAATAATAGCAGAGGTATATGTTTTGTGGGCTATTGAGCGTAATATGAATCATTTGATTTTGGCGTTAACTGACGTGTACGACCGTGGTCGTTACACTGTCACCCCGTCTGGTCCCCGAGATATGGTAGGGACTGTCAGTTGGTTGAAAATGTTCAAAGGAGGGCCACCAGACTGGTGCCTGCACTTCGGCACCTCAGCTACCCTGAGAGATTGGAGCGCTTGAACTTGCCTAGCTTATAGTACAGACGGGTAAGGGGAGACCTAATTGAGGTGTATAAGCACCTCAAGGGGAACTACTCAATCGAGTGTCCTTACTTGGAGCTGGCGGACGCTCTCCCCACAAGGGGTCACAGCTCAAGACTGAACTTTTACTTTTACTTTTATCCTCTTCGCCACTGATCGGCTTGTTAGCCGCTTGGGCGATCGGTCACGTCTCTTTTCCTTTATATTCTTCACCAAAAGGTCGGCTCGCTAGCCGCCCGGGCGATCGGTCACGTCTCTGTCACGCACTGTTGGCAAATACTGGGCATGCACCGGCTCCTGAATGTACCTGAACCCGCTCCAGTGTTGGTCAAGTCTTCTCTTGAAAGAGCTCACACTCGGTGCCGTCACAACACCTCTGGTAGATTGTTCCAAGAGTTTACAACCCTCACTCCGAAAAAGTTTGCCCTCACGGTTTTCCGGACTTGCGGCTTCTTCAATCTTGAGCTGTGACCCCTTGTGGGGCGAGCGTCCGCCAGCTCCAAGTAAGGACACTCAACTGAGTAGTGCCCCCTGAGATGCTTATAAACCTCAACTAGGTCCCCCCTTGCCCGTCTGTAGTATAAGCTAGGTAAGTTCAGGCGCTCCAATCTCTCAGGGTAGCTGAGATGCCGAAGTGCAGGCACCAGTTTGGTGGCCCTCCTTTGAACATTTTCAACCAACTGACAGTCCCTAGCAGTTGGTTGAAAATGTTCAAAGCCACAAGTCCAGAAAACTGTGATGGCTAACTTTTTCGGAGTGATTGTTGTGAACTCTTGGAACAATCTACCAGAAAGTGTTGTGACGGCACCTAGTTTGAGCTCTTTCAAGACCAGACTTGACCAACACTGGAGCAGGTTCAGGTACATTCAGGAGTCGCTGCATGCCCAGTACTTGCCAACAGTGTATACCAGAGGCGTGACCGATCGCCCAGGCGGCTAACGAGTCGATCATTTGGTGAAGAAGATAAAAGAAAAGGAAAAGTAACAGAGACGTGACCGATCGCCCAAGCGGCTAACGAGCCGATCAGTGGTGAAGTAAAGTGAAAGTAGCAATCATCTAAGCTCTTGAATAAATGTTAAGGATGGCCGCCTAGTAACGCCAGAGAATTAAATGAAAAACTGTAAATAAAGACATAGAGAGGTCATGTAAAATAAAACTAAGTAAACTAATGCAAATTGAACAATATTTGGAGTTATTAATCAGATAAGCTTTGTTTTCTATGAATAAATATAGAAAACTGGGATGATATATTAAAAATTTTCATATAAGATTAAAAATATATCTTTCGGCAAATTGAAAAAATAATTTAATATATATTTTAATTATATTAATATATTTATATTTTAATATTAGAATTATCTTCAAGATAAGAAAAATATAATAAATTATAGTTTGTAAAGGTGATATTCCAGTTTACGATGTAAACAAACAATATCTAAGAGGAATTCAAACGAACTTGTCGGTGTTGTTGTCTCCGCCCTTCTGCAGGCTGTGATGAAAATGGATCAGGACGAAAATAAGGAGAATATATTATTGATAAACAATAATGTAAATGTAAACACGACGATGAAGCCGAGTAAAAAGGTAAGACTTAAGGACCTCAGTAAGACATTGTTTATAGTATTAATGGCTCATTGTGGTGTATCAAGAGGACGAAAGGAAACATATCGGTAACATTGCAGTAAACAGCAACCACAAAATACCGGAAATTCACTACACTCAATTGATAGAAGTATTTTTTCTATGATCATTTTCTTATATAACATTAGGTTAAGTTAAGTTAGGTTAATTTAGTGAAAGTTATTGGTCTAGATGTTTGATTTCTGATGTATTTTGTTCAGTTTCCGGTGATTTCGTCCCTTGGTGAGTTCGGACCAGTGAATTTGGCCCATGATAGTCTGGGCCGAATTAACTAAAGACTACAGGTATTTTAAAGGAATGCAGTCCAACTCGGCCCATCAAATACTAAAAAGTAAAAGTATACACATTTATTTTTGCATGATCACGAGATCTGAGGTTGACATTCCTCAACAATATACCCACAGAGGGCCACCTCACTTTACCTGGAGACCTGACAACGATACCCTCACAAAATATGACGGTTGAGGATAACCTGATCACGAGATCTGAGGCTGACGAGTTTCACAACAATTTAAATAATGAGTTACTTAATGCACAAAGGCAGAATGTACCATACAAAAAACTCAGATCAAATAACAATGATCCCAAATGGATAAATAATTATTTAAAGAATTTCATTGGCCAAAGGAAGGTGAAAGGTTGGAGAATAAATCATGAAGTTTACCTCCAAGATTATTATAAAGTATTGGCCAGTAGGTTTGTGACCCAGATAAGAAAAGCAAAGAGGAATAATGAACTGAAGGTGGCAAGGGAGGCGAAGTCAAACCCCAAGGGATTCTTTCAAATATATCAAACTATAACACGAGACAAGATTTGAGCTATACCGGCGAGCTAACTGATAGTGGCCTATACATTATGTATATTGGTAAGTTCGGCCCATGAAGGTGGGCCGAACTTACCAAAGAAATGGGCCAAATTCACTGGGCCGAACTCACTAAGGGACGAATTCACTGTAAACTGATATATCTAATCATTCTGAGTAACTTTCATTCAATACTCTTCCAGGTAATTATTTACGATTTCACAGTCGCTGATTTTTCATAGTAATTGAATTTAAATATGATGCAATTTCACTATGTTTTATAGTGGACACTGTTGTAGATATGGCAAATGTTTAAAAAAAAATTATTTAAAACTTCAAGGTAACCGGGTTAGGGTCAACACAACTCATACCGAAGATAAATTGTTCTAAAAAAAGTTAACTCGTACCCACGCCAACTCGTACCTGGATAACTCGTGCCCAAGATTACTTGCATCCAATTCAAGAGATAATCCATACCTATTAGTATATATACCAAGCATAGGTAGCTGCTGTCACAGCATTATTATAGCTTATTACGAACAATTCAGCTTCATCTATGTTTACAAAAAAGAATATGTAAATCTTGTAGGAAAGTGCAGTGAAATTGTGAAATGTAATGCAGTGCTTTAAAATGGTTGCATCTCATTACATAAGTATCTTATTCCGTCACACAAACATTGCACTACAAGTACATATTTCACACTGTGGTTTAGAATAACTTAATTGCAATTTACATATTTCAGGCTAATAGATTTGGCAGTTTCAGTTTAAAAACTGGGCAATGTAAATGTTTAAAAGAGTCATAAGTCAACAAAATACAGTCATGGAAGAGTCTAGACATGCATAAAACAGATTTATGTTCCAGCCTCAGCATTTTTGTAAACAAATCAGTTAGTGTACAGTATATATATCAGGGCTCCTCTCTGATACTTCTTCCGGTATAACGAACTTGTTCTACGGAGTGGCTGACATCGTCAAGAATTTCTTCTTTTGACATGTCAGCGTCAAGAATGAAATACAGTGGTCCCTCGGTTAACGAGCGCCTCGGTTAACAAGATTTCGTCAAGAATTAACGAGTTACCTCCCATAAGATTCTTAAATTCGGTTAACGAGCAACCCCTCGGTTAACCAGTTTCTTACGAGCCGACCTCAACAAGTTTTGGCTTGCACTGGGCGGTCAACCAGCTGTAGTATTAGTCTGCCAATACATTAATCGGTTCTAGGGCTTAAATTCCTTACTATTTCAGTAAATATCAAGAAGTTTATACTATTCAATAATTTTAAAAGTTTAATATTAAAATTTTTAGTCATTTTAACAATTATTGAACATAATTGAAGGTAAAGTGACTAGTTTAATGCGCGGCATCCAGCCTCTTAACACAGCAAACAGGCGTTAGTCTCTCTCTGTTTTCACTGGAGGTAACATCTTACTTGAGACGCTCTTCAACTAAACGCTTTTTTTCTGTGTTTCCAAGCAAATTATTGGTCATTTTGAAATTTATTTTACAAATTGACAATATATAGTGCAATGTTATTTTAAAGAAAATATTCTTTATTTACAACAAGTTTAACTTTAAAAAGCACGTGTTGACATTGTTTGAATCCAGCATGGGGCCTAAGAGATCAAGAAAAGCGATTTCAATCCAAACCAAGCAGGAAATCATAAAAAAACATGAACAAGGCATTAGAACAAATGCGCTGTGCAAAGAATATGGCATGTCAACATCAACTGTGTCGACAATTCTTGCACAGAAAGACAAATTTAAAGAAGTGAAAGTGAGAGACAAATCTACCAGTGTTTAAAAGTAGATCCCTAATTGCAGAAACTGAGAGGTTACTTATCTGGATTAGGGAAAACAGATGAAAGGTGATTCAGTTTCTACTGAATTCATTTGTGAAAGAGCCAGGGAGATTTACGAACATTTAAAGACAGATCAACCTGGTTCTTCAGGCACAGAATTTGAAGATTTTTTCGGCCAGCAAAGGCTGGTTCGAAAAATTAAGAAAAGAAGCGACATTTTCAGTGTTGTTAGGCATGGTGAAGCTGCTAGTGCTGATAAGGAAGGGGCAGCAAAGTTTTTAGTGGAATTTAAAGAACTGATGGAAGAAGAAAATTATCTTCCACAGCAAGTGTTCAATGTGGACGAAACTGGGCTGTTCTGGAAAAAGATGCCCAAAAGAACATTCATCACAGTGGCGTAGCTAGATGAAGCCTCTATAAAAATACATATTGCACAGTGACTACTATATATATATATATATATATATATATATATATATATATATATATATATATATATATATATATATATATATATATATATATATATATATATATATATATATATATATATTAAATAGTTTGCCTTACTGTTGTCAGACAAAAGCCACCCCGATCAAAGTAGGGGGCTTTTGTCTGGGTGGCTTTCGTCTGGGGGGCTTTTGTCTGGGTGGCTTTTGTCGGGGGGGCTTTTGTCTGTACCCCAGTGAGGATAGTGTCTTAGTATAAAATCGCAATGCTGTGAAACAAAATCTTAATATTTAATCTCAGTACCGCAGCAAAAGTCACATCAATATTTTTTAACCAATACTTTAATATTTCTTACCTTATAGTATTATGTCTTCCAACGAAGTAAATAACTGGATCGAAAACACAAGAGAACTTAAAAGTCGTCTAGCCTCCCCTCGTCTTGTCACGATGGAGACTTGTGCAGAACTGAAGTGAATTGCTTGTAACTGGTGGATTGGTCGGCTGTACATGAACTGATATGACCCGAGACTGCATGGTTTTGCAGCTACTGGAGACGTTAATCCTTCCCTTTGTATCGGCGGCAAGTTAATCCTCGTCGTGTCTGACCTAACACCTGACCCACACCACATGAGCTCACTGGCGTACTTGTTTGAAGTTGTTTCCTTAATCCTCAACAGGTTACAGGTTGTGTGTGTGGGGGGGGGGGCGCATAGCAAGGGTGTAGCTCATGACGTGGCCGTGATGATGTGGGTCAGGTGTTAGGTCAGACACGACAAGGATTAACTTGCCGCCGATACAAAGGGATGGATTAACGTCTCCAGTAGCTGCAGATATGGGTGATGAGCAGACCCAAAAGGCCGGGGCGGACCCCCTGCCCCCCTAAATTTGAAGATTTTTTCGGCCAGCAAAGGCTGGTTCGAAAAATTTAAGAAAAGAAGCGACATTTTCAGTGTTGTTAGGCATGGTGAAGCTGCTAGTGCTGATAAGGAAGGGGCAGCAAAGTTTTTAGTGGAATTTAAAGAACTGATGGAAGAAGAAAATTATCTTCCACAGCAAGTGTTCAATGTGGACGAAACTGGGCTGTTCTGGAAAAAGATGCCCAAAAGAACATTCATCACCAGAGATAAAGCCTCTTTACCTGGGCATAAACCCATGAAAGACCGTCTTACTCTATTGCTTGGTGCCAATGCTTCAGGGGATTTCCGACTGAAGCCTATGCTCGTCTACCACTCTGAAAACCCCAGGGTGTTCAAGCAACAGCAAGTGGTAAGAACAAAGCTTGGAGTTTATTGGAAGTCCAACTGTAAGGCATGGGTGACAAGACAGCTTTTTAATGAATGGGCTGTTGATGTGTTGTGCCCTTCTGTCAAGAGCTACCTAACCACCAATAAACTCCCTTTAAAGGCTCTTATCCTCATGGATAATGCTCCTGGACATGACCCTGAACTTGCCAGAACTTTGGAGTATCAATTTGGCTTTGTGAAAGTGTTGTTTTTGCCTCCCAACACTACATCAATCATACAGCCAATGGACCAGAATGTGATCGGCAACTTCAAGAAGTTGTACATGAAGAAAATGTTTAGGAGGTGTCATCAGGCAACTTCCAATGGTCCTGAACTAACACTGAAACGGTTCTGGAAGACACAATTCAACATCCTGGAGGCTGTAAAATTGATTGTGTCATCATGGCAAGAAGTCTCCAATAGATCCCTCAATTCTTCATGGAAAGCACTATGGCCATCAGTAGTCCATGATTTTGAGGGATTTCAGGATGACACATAGTTGGTCCAGGAGATTGTGTCCATTGGTCAGTCATTGGGCCTTGAAGTGGAAGAGGATGATGTCGAAGAGCTTGTGATGTCTCATGAGGAAGAACTTACTCCTGATGAC